GTGGATCACATCACGAGAAATTATTAATTATATATAGGAAGTAAATTTATCATGGATTAGTTTAATAATAAATACAAAATGTATAGATAAAATACCTAATGATACATTATTTTCACATAATCTTATCTGTTTGTTGATCTAATCTATGAATAACATAATAAATCTAATTTATATAATAATTTATCTCACATCACGGCCTTTAATTTGAATTAATTAAAGCGAATTAAAGAAGAACAACTAGGGTTTAAAACCTAGCTACAGTTCGAAGAATAAGCAACCAAACAAATTAAGAAATAAAAAGATCACACCAATGGGTCATTGTTTTCGTTGATTTTGTTTGTTTTTTCATTTCACAATTAATGACCAAATCTTATGCACCGATCGATTCCCCTGCCGCGCGTTTGAATGCTAAGTTATAATAAATTGTTCTAAATCAACACTTAATTCTCTTAATTAATTTATGCCGTTGGTCTGTGAAGGTAATATATATATATATATATAAACTGTCTGTCTAGATGTATCATGGGTCACTGCTATTAATTAATGATTTAGAAGTGTGAAGATATATATTAATCTATCATAAAAAATGCAAAAAATAAATTTAACTGTTTTTTCAATAAATAAAAAAGCATCTTCCAAGTATACATAAAGCAATGAAATGGCACCCGAACCTTATTACTTCATGTATATATTGCAGCATGGTGTGTTCTTGACATATTTTCTGCAAAACTTATCATACCATGTTCGTGTGCGCTGTGAAACTCCGATGTGTGATCACAATCAAAATATATATATGGTCGAATTTCCTTCTACATGTCTGACAAGATTTTTCATTTATTTGGACTGAATATTGGTGATGAGTTCAGCTGATATATGCAGTCCACCATGTGTACCTCAGAGGAAGTGGGGGGGAAAGGGAGGCTACGACGTCGTGATGGCAAAAGGAGCTTTTACTGTCTTAAACTGTAACTGTATAACAGAAAACCAGCTCCTATCAATAAATAAATATCTAGACCAATCAATACGTGGGGGCACATCTTTAATGGACAACATTTGCTGCATTTTTTATTTTATTTTTGCATCTAGCTGGACAAAATTGTAGGGCATGCTTACAAGTCATAAAGAAATGCATCATAGTGCTAAAGAACAGCAATGCTTTGCTTTAGAAAACACATATTGTGCCCATTATTTCAGAATCAAAATTATTGCCGTGCTATCGGACAGAAACCATCACAACAGCGCTAAGATTGATTATCCAAAAAAAAAAACATCGCCGCTAAGATTATAGTGCTAATAGTAGCACACAGCACATCTGCCTCTACATGCGTGCCAAGAAGAAACAAGAGGTGCCCTTCATTGATTAGCAGCAATAATGCATTATTTTAACCCCCTCACGTTGTTCCAAGACACAATTTCCATAGTTAAAAAGAAAAGGAAAAGGGTAATTGGTTGTCTGTAGATATCCTTTGATTGTCATATCTTCGGCCATGATCTCTGCAGAATATGTTTAAAGATTTTTGCAGTGCTTTAAACTAATGTCAGGGCTGAAAGTCAACTTTTTCTATAGTTCAATTACTGGTGTGGAAATGGAGAAGGATAGTATAGAAGGACATTGTCTCTGAATCTACTAATTGAGGTGCAGAATGGAAGGACTTCCTTTTAAACACCTGGTCTACCGATTGGGGCTTTTTTCCTTGTACTTCAATGTGGACTCCCGTGATTAGTAGAATAAGTTCTAAGTTGGCTGCTTGGAAAATAAAGAAAGCATTTATCTACCGGGGGTAGAGTGTGCTTTATTAAGTCAGTGCTAAACAACCTTCGAATCTATTATCTCTCTATTTTTCCTGTCCTTGTGACGGTAGCGGCAAAAATTGAGAAGAAGATTAGGTCTAAAAATGCTAGTTACTCATGCAGTAGAATGGTTAATCCATGTGCAAGGGATCATGAGAACCTGAAGAATATTTTTCGATCAAGAAAGTTGTATATTGGTTGGTAATGGTTGTGATACCAGCTTCTTGAATGATGTATGGATTGGTAATTATTGTTTGTCAAGTCAGTTTCCTCGTTTGTACAACCTCTCAACTGACAAAGGTTATTCAGTAGCTAATATGGGCACTTGGGATGGTTTTGCTTGGATTTGGAACTATAGGTGGAGAAGACCTTTGAGAGGAAGGGAAATCAATGTTTTTAATTATATGTTTGAGCTTCTATCTAATTCCAATATGGAGTTCTCGGTCCAGTCTTTATGAGGGCTCCTGAATTCATCCCTTCGGACTAATAACAATATCTCTTTTAACGGTCTGTGGAAGGGTCTGGTTCCTCCAAAGGCGGAAGTATTTTGCTGGTTGGCGATATATAATCAACAGACTTAATACTAGAGGAATGCTTTCTAAACGAGGTATTATTGACATATAAGAGGTTGTTTGTCCTAAATGCTTGCAGAAGGAGGAAACTGTTGATCATCTCCTTATACGTTGTCAAAAGGGTTGGAATATAGGGACTCAATTCATTCGATGGTGGGGGCTCTCTTGGTGATATCTTGGAAGTATGTCGAGTTTTTGTTTCAACAATGGGAAGTCCTTGTTAATGAAGTTCTTCAAAGAGAAGTATGGTCAATGCTTTTCTTAACCATATCTTGGTCTCTTTGGCTTCTAAAAAATGAAGCAGATTTTTAACAACAATCAGCCTGATTATGAGATAATTTTTCTGTTAATCCTAACAAGTTTATGTGTATGGGTCAAGGCTTTATTTCCTGACTTCCCTTATTGTGCTCTTGGCTTGCTTATGTCTGTTGATGGTTTTATAGAATGGTCGAACGCTATGAAGTCACGACCATTACTTAATTATATGGTCAGCTCCATAACCTTCGGTTATGAAATGGAATGTGGATCGGTCTTCGCTTGGTAAACCAGGTCCTGCTGGTATTGGAGGTGTTCAACGTGATCATAATGGATTGGGGTTAAGACTTTTTTCAATCCCTGTTGGAATAAAAGATTCTAATGAAGCAGAATTATTAGCTGTTGTTAAAGCCTTGGAGTTATCAACATTGAAGGAAGATATGTTTAGAAAAGAAGTGGTGGTGGAATCGGATTCTAGAAATGCAGTCAATTGGATGACAAAGAAGTCTATCAGACCATGGTTTTACCAAAATCTCTTCACCTTTGCTTCACGATTCTCATCATGTTTGGGTCCTGTAACTTATATTCACACTCTGCTAGGAGCTAATCATAATCTTGCGAAACAAGGTGTCAGTAGGAATGGTGAACTATTACTATGGTTGTGATTATTTGTTGCTCATTGGTTACTTTACTTGTCTCTCATCTCCAGATAGTCTTGCGAAACAAGGTGTCAATGGGAAATGGCAACGACTTGAGAAAAACGTAAGAACAGACATCAGACTTTCAACTTCATTGGTGGAACTGGCACTTGCCCAACATCACCTCATGGAAATCCCTTCTGCAAAAGGTGGAAGATAGTGGTATAACTCTCAACGAAGTTGACTGATGTTGGGGTCCAGAGATTGCTACGGTAGGGGCTGGTTCTTTGACTATTTTTTCTCTTCTGTTATCCAGGGCCATGTGTGCATAGTTCTTGTAGTTTCTTGCTCTTTTTGGCTTTCAGGCACCTGTGGTTTCTTGTTTGCCTTTTACAGGCTTATTCTGCATATCAAAAAACAATCGAAATATGTTTGGTAGTTGCCGATCAATTAATTTTAGCAATGCACGGCGTTTTTAGTACTAAATCATTATGTCGTATTTGACATATTTTCTCTATAGTTTATCTTTTGTTTTAAGAGACCATTTTTTTTTAATTATTAATATTGGGTGATTATATTTGTAGTTAATCCAAAGACGGGGACATGTAGCTAGGGTTCAGATTTTACCGGATTGAGGAGGGATATTGCAAGCTTGTTATCATAATAATGTTCATACTTTTCAAACCTATGTATTCGGTAAATTAAACACCATTAATTCAAGGTTTATTCATGGCTTCACTACTCTATATTTGAACAGCTAGAATTTTTTATTCTTTTCATTTTGCAGCTACAAAGTGAACAATAAATAATCATTCCTGGTCGTTTTATCGGCACTGACTTCAATGATATAACGGGAACCGAACAAGTTCAGAGAAATTAAGAACTGTGCATCACGTTAGTTCCTTAGACTAACAACTTCGAAGAGTAATACTGTTGGTGGACCCTGTCGAAGGTCCACGAGCAGCATGACAGCGGGTGATGTTGGCATGTTGTGGGAAGGGTCCCCAGTCGGAGCCACAGGGGCTTAGTTTTCTTCTCCTCCATTTTTAGGTTGCTGCTTATCCATCCATCATAGCTCAGATAGAAATAACAGTCGACTGTTCTTGTCCATGCCCTTTCCCCTTTCTTCAATCTACCGATAAGCATATGCTGAGCAGTAGAGGATGTTTTTTTATTTATTTAACAGACGTGATTAAATAGGGAATTTATTTCCCTTCACTGGTTGGAGGATTATTACAATATCTATTAATTTACACGCACGAAGGTGTAATAATTTCTTCATTTCCAAATATTTCTATCAATAAAAGTCCTATATATAATTTTGATAAAGTATTTTTTTCCCCTCTCGATTATCAAATAGCATACACATATCTTGGTGAAAAACCTGAAAACAAAGCAAATTAACTACTGTTACCATTTCTGACATTTACACTACCATGAACATAGAACAAAGCTACAACAGTACTGGTCTCTTTCATTTATTCTTTGAAAGCTGAACCTATCTCTCTTCTTCTTTCTCACTCCCTAGCCTTATTAATTTTTCAAAAAAATTAATAAATTATAAAAATAATTAAACATATGA